AAAAACGCAGGCAATCATTATCGGAGCTTATGGAAAGAAGACTTGTTCATTATCAGCGGCAAAAGGAGCACAAACAAACATTAAACCAAGTTTCACAACTTAGAACGATTAAATAAAGTGGTTTTGAGTTGATAATCTTATCATATACTGTACAATTAGTAAAACCAATAAAACTTAAAAATTAGAAAACCAATTTCATATATTACAAAATTGATACTGTACGTATATTGTTGGTGTAAATAGATAAGGACGGCTCCATCTGGCTCTCGCCGTGTCACGCCCCTGCAGGAGTAATTACTTCGCGAAAGGAACGTGTATATTTGAAGGATCACGTGGTTACGGTGGATATGTATGAGTTTACTATGTTAAGTGAATAAGTTATTGTAATTTAATAAATAATTTTAAATTAAAATATTAAAAAATTTTTTTAAATAAACTATCAAATAATATATTTTTTTCTAATCAAACAGTTAGCCATGCATTTATTAATCCATTTATAGGAAAAAACAATACAATATATAGTATAATATTATATATTATACTATTTTTTTATAATAGAATATCTATTAATAAGTTATTTTAAATTTGTGTATGGTTTTTAAATCCTTAAATCAAGATTATTATATTGTCTAATCTAATTATTTACTAATTATTTTACTATAAAAAATAGATTTATTAAGCAATTATTGTATAATATTAATTATCTAAATTTTTTTAATTTTAATTTTCTAGATATAATAATTTTAATTTTAACTATATGAATAATTATTTTTGAAGATGACAAAAATGCTAGATATGATTTTTTCAGACCCTACTTTTAAACAATACATATAATAATTACAATTGTAGTACCAGAAAATTTCCGATCTGCCTTTAAAAATAATTACTCATATTATAAAAATCTTGTAAATTGAATACTTCAAAAGATATCTAATCAGCTCTTAGTAACTTGCAAGTTTAAGATATATTATCAAACAATTGTCAAATATACAATATATATAGTACAATTCTAATCCTTGATGATATAATATATTTTCAAATACTATTAATTAAATTATTATAAGCAAATATAATCAAATTAAAAGAATAAGACCATAAAGTATATATATTTTTTCTTTTTATTTTTTTTTATTTACTTTTTGTTTCTTTATATTAATTAAATACATATATCTTTAAAGATAAAGTCTAATATAAATATTTGTATTTTTTTTTTAAGGAGAATATATATATATATAGATCTTTATTAATAAGTATTGTATCTAGATAAACATTAATTATCTTTTATATATAATTATACATATAGAATTAATATTGTCTAGATGACCTACTTGGTTATAGCTCAGTAGGCTAAGACAGGATAGAACTAATCTATAACCCATAGTTCAACTTCAGCTGGGAGATAATTCATATATTCCAAATAGGAACTTTGTGTCATTGCCTCTGTAACTCATAATAAAGAGTAATTTGGATTGTCCTGACAATCAAGGAGCCTTATGGATAAATTACATCCTATAGGTCGAAAATATAGATAATTTGATTGATAAACTTTCTAATCAAGTATTGCTTGGAAAATATCTCCAAAAGGGAGAAGAGATTTAATAGAATCTTTCCAATAGCGGAAAGAAAAGTACAGATGGCTAAAATCATTAGTCACACAATTATCAATAAGAGTTTCACATGTCCAATGGTAGTGAGGATCCAGTCGGGATATAGAAGATTGCTTATATTATATGATGTTTTATCCTAAGGATATATTTGCAACGGTTGACTATATGACCCCATAAAACGTAACTTCCTATATGTGTTGCTAGGTTAGATTAGGAAGGGTGAGGTTGGATCCGATTCCTAAATGATTTTATGTACTGGTGTATCCTCATCCTATCAATAATATCTCACTGACTAAACCCTAATAAGTCTTGGCTAAACTGAACGATTGAAATACTATAGTTGTGACTGCAGGTGATAATTATCCTGATAAGATTAATAAAGATCTGCTTGTCTTGAAATAGCAACTTTTTACTCCCACCATCTATACTTAGAGGCTTAAGCCTAAAATGAGTATTTAGGACTGACGATCGTTTATGTACCCTGGAGAAACACCGGGAAACTAAGAATGATGAGCATAGATACCTAAGTTAATGATAATGGGATAAAAAAAAGAATTAATATTGTCTATTAACTATTTCTAATAATAGCTTATAGATATTTGTATTTTTATATTTATTTTTTTATATAATTTTATATTATATAAAGTCAATATATATAAAAGATATCCTTTTGACTTTAATAAAATTATAACTTCTGTTGGTATTTAAATTCAAATATTAAAATTCACAATCTTTTTAAAGTCATTAATAATTTTTTTTAATAATTTTATAATTTGATAATAGCAGATTTAAAAAATTTCTTTCTTTTAAAAAAATCCAAAGCAAAATATTATTAAAATAAATATCAAACAATTGAAAATCTTTATAAAAATCTTTACCAACTTTATAAAAGCTATAATATAAAAAAAAGAAAAACAAGTTATAAGCTCAAGTTTTTTTTGTTATACCTGCTTCAAAAATTACTTCCAAGATTCTTATATTTAAAGAAAAACCTAAAAAAAATATTATTGTTTGGTTATATCAAATAAAGAATATCCTTCAAGTTCAAAAGTTAATAACAATATTATTATTATATACTATTCTATTATTGAATTAGAAAAACCTGCTCTTTACTAATATATTCACAAGATTAAATATATAGTATAAGTATTAATATTTTTGCTAGTTGGGATAATTTTATAAAACAATTGAAAAAATTCTTTCAGCCTTTATATTATCAACTATACTTGTAAATCCAACTTAAAATCTTGTAATAAGTAAAAACCATGCAAAATACAACTTCTAATTTAAAAAACTTGTAAGTCAGATAAATAATATAGAATTATTAAATCAAGTTATCAATTATATAAATAGCTTAAAGCCTTTAATAAGAAAAGAAGTCAATTATCAAGTCCTCAAAACTTTAAATGAAACTGTAAAACTAGTTGTAATATTTAAAGCTAATCAAAATAATATTCTAATTATTTGTAAAAGCTTAAAGGATTTATTTAATAAAGAAATTCTTAAAGTAACAAAATATATCCTTTTATATGTTTTCAGTTATACAATATAAAACTTATGATAATATACAGTATATTTAATTTCTGAAAAAGTTAAATTTATTTATAATTTTTTTCTTATAACATAATTAAGCTAATAAAATATAAAATTATAAATTATTTAATTATAATCTTTAATCAAATTCTAATCTTTTTACAATTTTCATTTTTTAAAAACAAACAATTGTAACTTTAATATTAAAAAAAATTATTTGAAGCCATAAGCTCAATAATACTAAACCAATATTCCTAGTTAACTATGTAAAAAAAAATATTTATGGAAATGATTAATAAAATTTGATTAAAATATTAAAAAAAATATAATTTTATTAGAATTTAACTTTACAAAACTACTTGGCTAAAGTCCTTTAGAACCCTTATCTATTTTTAACTTAATAATCTAAGTAGTAAATGTAAACAATGAACAGTATTATAACCTTACCTTTTGATACCCATTTACATTTGTTTTTACAATCTAGCTGTCATAGATCTATGATATTTCCTTATTATTTCTTGTATTCCTTTTTTCATGAATTTTAGTCCCAAGCACATATTATATATAAACTTTGTTTAACCATAATTATGCATTTAGCATTCCAGTTATAGGTGGCATGCTTTTACCCTATATGACATAATTTATTAGTGTTTTATTAGAAAATTCACCTATTAAAATACATTTTCGTTTCCTGGGGGGTCTAGGATATGGAATTCGCGGTGGTTGAATATAAGCTTTGTTTGGATATACAGTATATGGATATATCTGCTGCAATTAATTCTCCAGTTCCTAATGGACTAAAATGAACCAAATGAATATCAGAATTCTTGTTGATAAATTTAAATTGCAATAATTTTATTTTACTTTTTAGGAAATAAATACTGTATAATTAAACCAATTTATATGCATTCATCCCCACCAACTATAATTAAAGGATTCTTACTAAAAACTCCATTTGCAGACTAGAAATAACGTCGTAACGACCAAAGAACTTGACCATGACACATGTCAGTTACAAATACGTCGGTATTGCCCGCTCGTTGAAACTTGAAGCCGGAAGATTCTTAATGCTCGAGAAATTATATAATCACTATACTTACCTTCTAAACTATTTTATAAGGAAAACCACATTCACAATTCAACGTTAGATAATGATAAGTAGTTTTTATGTAAATGATGTTCACTTACTCATATTCATCTCGCCACTCATCTGGCATGTAAGGACGATGTGGTTGGAGTAATTTCACGATGTAATCCATAACTTTTTTTTTAATAACTAAAAAAAAGCATATTATATTTGTACACTTGCCTATAAAGACGATAAAGGATGACAAGTGTATGAATTCTATTCGTCCATTCTGACTATTCTATTGTTGTCGTCACCGGCGAGTCTGTCGCTAAAACGACCCATCTTCGCGTGACGAACGCTTGGATTTCGGTATTAAATAAGGTAAGGCTTTTAACTCTGAGGCGGGTTACGATTTGGTCGGTCTCTTGCACTTGCTAATCTATTCTTGACCGTCTCTCTAGGCGCGTTTCAAGATTACAGGTTTCACTCTTTACACGGTGCAAAGGTAACGTCAGTGTCTTCCTTAAAGTTTACTTTACTGTAGTGCTGTAGTGGCGTTAGTTCTAGTTTATTGTTTATCGGGCGTGAGTGTTACTCGGCGAAGTAAAATAGCATTTATTTAATATAGCACAAGAAAACAGAAGAGTGTTCCAAAAACTAAACTCTAACTGTGACTGACGAACTGATCAGCTACAGTATTTACAGTATATGCCTTGTCTACTATTACCGATTATTACATCATTCTGCCATCATTCCTCATTATTACGCGACGCGTCCTGATTGTCACGTTGCCAACCTACAACACTATAAAATCAATTTCATAAAACCTTTGTACTGGGTAGAGATTATATTCGATATTTTGACCTATTTATCAAATTAATGTTTTAAAATTCCATAAATTTTATGATTAATTCCGATACAATATCTTCTTTTCACATAATCAAAATATTCCATTTTCCGTAACAATATTTAACTGCTAATTAATGTAAGGTATTTAAATACTGAATCATTTGGTTTAAAACGAAAGGATTTTAAGATGATTAATCTTACAAGCTGGATTTCCAAAAAATAATTATTTGCATTAATAACAAATGAGGAAATCAACAATGTTAAAATTTTTGAATACATAAAACGTAAAACCCGACTAATTATCAGACACAGAGCACAAAAAAGCTATAAAGGAAAAAGAATTAAAATATAATAATATTATTGAAAACAAATTCCTAGATATTGGATTGATATAAAAAGAACCTGTTCAAAAATGTGAAATAATTGGTTAATAGATTTTTCGTCCATATAAAACCGTTCATAATATAGGCTAGCTTATTAAAATAAGTTGTTTTTAAAAAAATCATACAATTATATACTATACGTATACAGTAAAAATAAATATTTATTTGTATTTTTATTATCATTTTTATAGCAAATAATAAATTTACAGTATATTATTATGCAATACGGTATATCAGATAAAAAAAATTAATAATGAATTAAAAAAATATTTTTTCAATTATTTATTAAAATGTTTTTTTTACTGCTGTGATTTAATAAAAACCTTAATAATAAAACACATTATTTTAAAATGTTTTATTTTAATATTTTAAAAATAATTTAATTAAAATTATATTAAAAGTCATATAACAAATATTATTATAAAATTCAACTGATTTGAAGCCAGACTAATAGGTTAAATAATTTAAACTAGTAATAAAATTTTTATTTTCTAGATAGGTCCCCAAAAATATAATCAACTTGAAGAGTATTAATTGTATTGCTGGATTAAAAAGTAAAATAAATTAGTATTTGCTATAGTTAATATTATAGAGAATATTTAATATAATTAAAATATTATAATATATAAATAAATTATTATATTATAAAAAATAAAAATAATAAAATTCAATTAA